GTGAGTCCATCTCCCCGCTTGTCATGGTCATAGAGGTCCTTGTGAGATTTCCGCGTACCCCTTCGCGGCACGCCATCGCTCGCGTCGTGGATAACCGCACCGTTCCACAGGAGCGGTGGTTGAAGGTGCGGATACGCACAGTCTTCCAGTTGAAGCTCTCCGGGGGAATTCCAGGCGGGAACGAGGAAATGTTATTTCGTCTCAGTCAGTCGAACTCCGCAGAGAGGGACTGCGGACAGGGATCAGACTCGATGGCGGATCAGATTGACTGATAGGAAAAAAGGGAGGAGATAGAATGAAACAACATTGGAGGCGCCGAGGAATTTCCAGCAGAGCTCAAGACAGCAATCGCTATCTATCGGGCGACTACGACTCCTATAAATCCCACATTTTTCTTTTCGTCTGATTCCTCTCTCTAATTGGCTTCTGGCATCCTGGTGGGATGGCATCAGCGGCTCAGAATCTCTCATCCTCAGATCGGCATCGGACTCACAAGTTGTGTTTCTATTTTTTTTTGGCCCTCCACTCGGATCCCGGAGCCGCGACGGCTGCTCGCTCGCTTCGTTGGATCTTTGCTCCGGTCGATCTTCTTCTCTTCAACCTCATCGTCGTTGGCAGCGGCAGCCGCGTCCTCGTCTCGATTCGATTCTTCTCGGTTTCATCATGGATCATGGAGAAGAAATGAGGAACAAGGCGAGCAAGAGAGCCCTCGAACGACGACGGCGGCGGCGGCGGCAGAACAGAGCGAGATAGATCCATCTCTGCAACCCTGGTGACCTCTCTCGTGCCATCTGAAAGAGGGGAGCAATCCGCGCGTTCGTACGTCCATCCGTCGGTCGGTTCGTCGGTCCCTCCGTCCGTCCGTCTCTTGAAGACAGCCCGCACTGCGAGCCTCGCAAGCAGTCAGTGGAGCAACGCGGCAGCCAGTGTGGCGATAAGCCCTTTTAATTCGGACCAACAGTGGCAGCTTCGGTTCGTCTGTGTATCCGAACGCCCCGTCGAGCGAGTTGGTTTGGTAGGTGGGTGGGTGGTGGAATGGTGGGTGAGTGGTCGACTGGCAGAATGTTTGACTGACTCGAGAGTGGGTGGAAGAGTCGTCCGGTCGGTCGGTTCGTCCGTACGTCCGTCTGTCTGTCAGGGAGGTCACGCGTCGCCACCCCATCAACTCATCCGTTATCGCCGACTGACTGTCGGAGCCGTTGAGCAGTTCATTTTCGCGGATCCTTCCACGTTCGACTGTCGAGCTCGCTCTGCCTCATCTACGTTTTCTCCTCTCTGGACGCTCCGAGCGGAGGTTACTTGGCGACCTTGAGTACGGTTATCCTCGGAATGTTTCACCTGTTTGTATTTGGACCCTGGACTCCGGCTCCGGACGAGTCTTCGAAAAGCTCCTCGAGGGGCTCCAAAAATTCAGATCGTTCATAGTCCATAGTCCGTGGAAGAGAACGTATATCCAGAGAGAAGCCGAGATATTCCTCTCGAGAAGATAGGCTGACCGATGCCTCATCCCCCGCAGGGTCTCTACCCAGCTCCAAACATCGAATCCGAACGGCTGACCGCCTCGGCAGTTCGGTGGAGAAATAGCGGAAAGACAGATAGACTCGAGGTGGGACCATGGGTGAGCGGGGCCGCGATATCTGTTCGTTGTTCGTTGAAATTGATTTTCCCCAAATGAAGATGGTCACTGAATTTCGATTCCTCCCGGTGCGCTTCCTCTCGCACTCCTTCCTTCTTCTTCATCTTTAACGATGGCGATGAGGTGGTCGGTGCAAGAATCTGAAATCTGGGAATCCCTCTGACTGTAGAGTGCTACGAGCTCCATCTTTTCTCCTTCCCGCTTTCCCGCTTGCCTTGATTTTCTGTCTCATTTTCGGCCAATTTCCCATCAGAAGTCGGGAAGTCCCTGGAATGGCCGACGAATATAATCGTGCCGGCTTCTTTTCCATTCTCATGGAAGGACAAGTTTTGGTCTCTCCAGGAGTTCCCGAGCGAGTTCCATAGAACTTCAATGCGGGTTGAGGGTCCCGCGGCTTGATCCGTCCTGCTCTCTGGAATCTCGAGGTTCACTCAGTTCTCCAGGCATGCAGGCTGTCGCTCCCTAGTCTCATTTTTCTTTTTCCCGGACGAAACCACCGTGGCGAGCGGACGAGCTCGGGCGATGCGAGAGGAGGGTTAAGGCGAGACGACGAGCAAGGCTGGAGACGAAACACAGAATTGTCTTGACCCCATCTGTGGCACATCTGGACAGACCTGGTCGTTCCTTATCGATTTCAGCCTCAGAAGAAGAAGGAGCAGCAGCAGGCTTGGAGAGAACGGATACCTTTGCCTTCGTTCGTCCGCTCGCTCCTGCTTTCGTTCATTCCCGATTCGCCTTCTGTGTCCCCGTTCCCATACCGCTGCCGCCGAGGATTGGCCACTCGTCAGTCTTCTCAACAGCCCGGCAGACCCGCCGAGAAGACCACCCACAAGCCCAGCGGGCACCGCTCCGCGTAGGTATCGGAATGTAGGACGGCGATTCCCTTCTGGAGAAGTGTTTTTTCCCTCGAGCTTTCCCGCTTTCGTTGCCGTTTTTGCCGCTGCCGGATTCCATCCGCAAGCCGGGGTCCCCGACTCGGGACCCGTCGCGTCGTCGTCCCCCGAATCGTTGCGAATCCAAGCGCTCTCAGAGGCCGGAACATCTTTAAACGTCTCCCTTTCCGGAACGTACTCGAATAATCCGAATGCGATGTCAATGAGAACGCTCAATCCGTCATTCCCCCCAAGGGTGGGAAGGCTTGCGTACGCAAACTCCCCACAAACACGGATGGGAAAACGGGCGAGCGCCTATCCCGCGAACAGAACGTGTCCCGCATAACATAGTGCCTATCTGTCGGTCGATCCAACGGATGGTTCCTCTGTCGTCCGCGTACGTCTGTTAGTCTCTCCGCTGCGGCTCCTTGTAGGCCCCGTGGATCCTGCTGTGGCTAATTGTACTCGCAGCAGCAACGGATATTGGTGGCAATAGAAATGAACGTGAGGATACCCTACTTACCATAGGAAGCCAGTTTGTGAGCACACGGACCCGCTCCGAGTGATCCGCCGACGGCTCACCACTGAGCCAGTCCCCCGTCCGGAGGCTCGGTACTCGCTCCAAAAGGCCCCGTAGTCGTAAGGCTCGAACATGGCTCATGGAAAGCACCGAATGAACGGTCAGTGAGCTCGGAGCTCCGGCTACGCTCAAGTGGATGGCTCGGCTTTCCCTTCGTGACTCAGTACTTTTCCCCACGGCGGCGGCCCTTCGCCCTCAGCCTCGCCGAGAACACTTCTACCGCCTTCCCCAGTTCTTACGCTTACACGACCCACGCGCCGCGATGAGACCGGTCAGTAGCGTCGTGGCCCGAGCCGGAGAACGTGCAAGGGGTGGTAAGTGCAAAAAGAAAAAAAATAAACTAAAAACACTCCCGCAAGCGTTCGGGAAGCGAGTCGTCCGGAGCCAGCTGGGCGGCCTACTCCGATTTCTCGAGCGCGATTTCCACCTTGAGGGTAATACGCCTCCTCGCGCTCCTGTCTGCCGTCTTGCGGATCGAAGCGGCAGACTTGTTGCTGCGAGATTTCCTCGGGTTAGAGGGGGGAATGGGGGGGGGGAGTCGGAGACTGCGCGGTCTTTTTCTGGCGAGAGTCGGAGGCGTACCTCCTACTAGGGCCTGACCGGGAGATCCATAGCTCGAAGATCAGGATACCTCACCCCAGGATGGGAAGAGGCGGGTGAGGGGGGCATTCGCGTGATGACCACTCGGGGAGGGGGGCTCCGTTGAGTGCGGACGCGTGAACAATTCAGGCAAGACATCTACCGCTCAATGCACCGACTTGACAAGTTCCCGTCGACCCATTTTCTTCCCTTTTCTTTTCACGAAACGGGACCGCGGTCGGGCTGTGCGGAAAAAGGACGCACGCTAGAGACGCAACGGGAATGGAGGAAACAAGGAAATGAAGGGAGCGGCAGAACAGGACTCTCCGAGGAAGCAGTGGTATCAAAGCGGGCAATTAACGCTCTCTTGTTGGCTGCTTGCGGTGGCGGTGCCAGTGAATCGTAGTCGTTCGTGGTGGTGGTGGTTGTGCTGCTAGTACTAGTAGTAATCCCCCTCCGCCCCCCCCCTCCCCTCGTCCATTCTTCCGTCTCTTACGCTTTCTCGTTGTGCTGTGCGTAAATCACAAAAGAATCACAGGAGCCGCTCCTCCACCTTTGTCCCGCTTCCTCCCGACTGGTGTCGCTTAACGCTCGGACTGCGGGTCCGTATATTCTGTTTCTCGAAAGAAGCTCCCGTGTCGGGAGCCGCGGCTGCCCGAGCAGACTACATCGTGTACGTTCCCGCTGGCGTTTGATTCCCGTGAATCAAGGACTAATACTACGCTCGGCGGCAGCGGCGGCGACGTGTCTGCGGATGGGACAGAATGAAAAAAGTTTTCCGGGGTCTCGCGTAGGTTTCCCATGTGCCCGTTGATTATTTTCCGTGGCTCGTTCATCGTACCAGGCTATCGTCTCCTGGCCGAAGTCGGTCAAGAAGAAAGACGCATTGATTAAGGAATGGAAGCACGGCGCCGACGCTGCTGCTGCCTACGTTACTCGTGAAGTAACGGGGAAGCAAAGCAAATCTTCCCTCATCTGCGTCTCCGTTAATTGCTCGCTCGACCACTCAGCCGAGCTGAGCGCCTCCTTCACCCCAAGCTAATCTAGCCCGTTCCCGCTCGCTCGACGGACAGACGGACGGACGCACAGACCGGTTCGCTGCGAGCTCCCGTAGAGACTTTATGACGTTAGCGACCGTCAGCAACTCAGACAGTCAGCACCCGTTGAGGGGTACACCGTCGGGAGATGCACAATTCGCTTAGCGCGATATCTTGACGCTAGAGTCCATCGTCTCGTGTTCCTCCTCTCCGATTTCCCTCACCGTCGCGCCGGTTCTGCTGTCGTTGTTGTTGCGGGTTAGCTTTGGAGAGTCTCTCCGAAACCGAACAGCTGAGACTGAAATGGCCTCGTGTTTGTCACGATTCCAGACCCTGTTCCAAGTGCGGTCGCGTTGTGCCGTGATCGGCGTCATTCACGTGAAAGCTCTTCCCGGAACGCCGTTCAACGAGAAATCCATCGATGAAATCGTGGACCACGCCGTGCACGAGGCCTCGATATACAGAGACTGCGGAATCGATGGACTCATCGTAGAAAACATGAACGATGTTCCGTATACTCTGCGCGAAAGTCCCGAGATAACGGCCTCAATGACTCGAATATGTTCGAGGGTTCGCGACACCGTCGGTCGGCGGATGCCTTGTGGAGTGCAAATCCTCGCAGCGCAGAATAAGTCGGCTCTCGCTGTAGCGGCGGCGTCAAATTTCAATTTCGTCCGCGCGGAGGGCTTCGTGTTTGGCCACGTCGCTGATGAAGGTCTCATCCAGTCGTGTGCCGGAGAACTTCTCCGGTATCGGAAATCTCTCGGAGACTTCGCTCAGCGAATCGCCGTATTCTGTGACATCAAAAAGAAACATTCCTCGCACGCGATAACCGCCGATGTCTCCGTAGGCGAAACCGCTCGCGCAGCTGATTTTTTCGCCAGCGACGGCATCATTGTCACGGGTTCCGCAACAGGTTCCGAGCCGAGTCCCGCGGATATCGAACAGGTGTCGGGAGCGGTGCCGCATCAACCTCTTCTTCTCGGATCCGGTGTAACGATCGAGAATTTCGCAAGGCTGAGCGAAAACTGTCATGGAGTGATCGTCGGTTCACATTTCAAGGAAGGCGGTTACTGGAAGAACGATCTGGATCCATCCAAGGTCCGAGCCTTCATGGACAAAATAAAGGAAGCTTGATATCGAAAACAACAACTTTCCAAATATACATAGTATGTAGTAGGTGGGTGGGTACTCGTGGTGGGTTCTCAGGGCTTGAATCAAACCATAGGCTATGAGCAGTAATGCAGATTCCGGCAGGTTTCCTCCATTCGATGATCGAGAGATCGGAACGGAGGGTTCTTGCTGACTTGTCACGCTTCCGCGAAATAATGACGGGACGACAAGCTCCACGCAAACGCACAAGGGGGAAGACCGGATGAATTGACAGACGCATACACGGTCAGCAGCATCAGGGATTCTCGATTCGGTGGCTCAGGATCCGGCGGATTGCTTGGACCCGGAGAGTCGGGCAGCGGAAGTGCCGGATGCGAAATGCTATGCAACGAGGAAACAGTCAGCCGATAATTTGCTATGCGCCCACCGGTCCCTCTGCCCTGCTTGGCTGTGCCCGTCCTGCTTCCCGGCCCCTGAACCGCTCGCAAGCTTGCCCTTCTCCAGCATCTCCGCTTGCTTGCTCTGCCCCTAGAGAGCAAGTGAGTGCCGCTGCAACGATCCCTCAAAGTACGAACATCGACTCGGAGGATACCTCACGAGCTTGGGAGCTCACTGTGCTCTGGTGTGCATAAGAGAGTATCCGCTGCCGGACTCAGAGTCTCACTCACAGCACAGAAATCCGCTTTCTCCGGATTTTCGTCTGTAGACCTTTGACCATAGCAGAAAACCGTGGCCGAACAAACAGCACGTTGACAGGGAGAAGCTTGATCCCTATCTGCACGCGTTTCGTTTGCTGCTGCTGCTGGCTTCTCCTTCGAATCCGCTACCCTCCGGCGGCAACCCAACTTCCGCCCTCGGCGGAAGTGTTCCCAGAGCCAAATGCCGTGTCGTCATCATCGTTGCTGTTGTCGTCGTGTGTTTATGATTAAGCTGAGCTCTTGACAACCGAAACACCACACCCTGTCAGAGCGACCAGGGGCACCGACCGGGAAAAGGGTTACCGATGATTTGGTCCGAACGGGTCGGCTGATTTCCAACAGCCGTGAAATGTCAACAAACCAAGGGGCGTCAGGTCTCCCACAAGAACGCGCGAGGGGTGAACATCGAAGACGTAGGTAACGATGATTCACCAGGCGGACGAGCAGAAGAATTGTATCCATTTCCCCCAGCAGACAACTAAACGGCGAGTGGGGAGATGTGTCGATTGACTGCGGTAGCAACCGAGAGGGTTGCGACGATAGGGCGGCAAGTGGCAAGGGAAACGAGCGCGCGGATTGCCCACGAGCCGACAGAGGAACGACGACGAACGGAGGCGTTTTTTTTTGTTCATCGTTCCGAACAATTCTCTGAGGGAACAGGCACGGATCTGAGATAAACAGAAAATAAATGGAAACAACGAACATCGTCCTGTTTCGTCTGACGCTCTTCTCCGCTCCTGGGCCGTCGGGCGCGCCGGGTTGCTGGCTGCCGGACGGTTGTTGGGTCGGCCTGAGTTGGGTCTGTCCGTCCGTCCGTCTGTCTGCCTGCCGACTAACTCGTCTGGTCTCCATTGTTGCTTCGAAAAATAACGCCTCCGTGAACAACAAGCCAGTCACTCACATGCGCCGTCAGGAGAACACTGATAAGGACGCAGAAGACAGACGGCACGACCGAACCTATGGTGTAGGGTTCCTCCATGGGGCTCGTATTCCGAGAGTGAATTATTCCATCTGGGGGTCCGATGCAGCCTCCCTCCTCGTTCTCAGACCAACCTCAATAAGGGCTGAGTTCCGGGGAAATCGAAAGGCCGCGCGGGAATCCCTCAAGGCTTCCAGGAGGCGCCAGCATAGTCGAGCAGCGATAGCTTTGCTAAACTGTCTTCTCGAGCCGGAACGATGTTGACGTTTTGTTTCCGTTTGTTTTCGGTTTTCTTACCCTGTCCGTGCATCTGCTTGCTCATTAATCAAGGATTGTTTTCTCGTCTGATAGTTCGCGGGCCGGTGAGAAACGAAGGCGTCCGTGTGTTTACGTGGGCGGTTACCGTCTGTCGGGCTAACTAATTTTTTCTTCTTCCTCCTCCACGTCCCAGCGCACAGTCCCCTCAGAGCTGCCGAATACTCGGGAGCCAGCAGCCCTTCTCCTGTGGTTCCTTTTTAACTTTGTTATTCTTTTGGCTCGTGCGGCCGACGATAATTTGTTTTTTCAATGTTGTTCGCAGACGAGGTGGTCGTATGGGGGAGTCGCTAGCGTTGTCAGAAGAGAACTCCCGAGTTTCGGCCACGTTCTGGGAGAGAGGAAAGGCAAGAGAGGGTCCGAAGTCTGAGAGAACGATTGAATGATACGAGATGAATTGAATGAGCCGATGGCGTCGCGGACGTAGCAGCGATTCCGAATCAAACAATCGACGTAAGAGGAGAGGCGACAGACTCGAGAGGGCAGGAGAATGAAAGGCTTAGTCATTCGACTGGCTGATCCGAGTCGGCAGCAGATGCTTGGGTCAAACGAGCCACCTGCTCTCGAGTTCACTGCGGTTCCCGCTCGGAGCTGCAGATGTACGAATCACTCGCAGTCCGAGCGTCGAGCGGCACTCGTGCGGTTGAGAAACGAAAAGACGTTCGGAGTCCGTGAGGTCCGTGCTGTTCGCGCGCAAAACCTGTGTGGCGATTCGTAGATCAGAACGTTTTCGCTCCGGAATCCGTCAGCCGGAGGTGCTCTCTGAGCGGAGATGTCTCGAATCGAGTTCCTCAAAGAGAAACTATTCCCCGCATTCCCCGGGGCATTTTGATCGAAACCTCGAAGCTGGCCGTCGTCGGCAAGGTCACAGGGGATATGAATGATTTTCTCGATGAGCTTATTGGCACCGGTGCGGCAATGCGTGGATGTCGACAGCCTCGGTGGTGAACGGCAACTCACATGTGCGGTTCGCCCCCCGAATCTCCGATAATTCCATATTCAGTGGTCAAGCTCGATACCGTGCTGGAGCTCGGATGCTCTTCGTTCGGATCTGCCCCTGACCCCGATGCCATCTGTGAATCAGAAGCAATCTCTTCACCATGTAGTATGTGCCTGTAGGTAAGACAAATGCATATTTTATTGGCCGCTCTTTCCATTTGCCGAGCAACCCGCCTTCCTGCATTGCTTCGAGTTCTCGTCCCGAGCGGCCCTATGCCGTCACTGCTTCTGTGGTGGGGTCAATAAGAAATAAATGGAGTGGCTTTTGCTCCTGCTTCCCGCTCACTCGCTTCCTCATTCGTTCGTTTCTTGCTTTTTTTTTCTTTTGGGCTCCTTCATCTTGTTTCGGGAGGTCGACCGCTGCTTCCATTTGAGGCGAGCCCCCTCGCGCTCGTTGATTCTCCTTCTTTGTGGCGCGCTCTCTCGCGAGGGACTATCTCGAAGACATCACCGCACCATCCTTCTTTTTGTCCGTGGTTTCACCAAGAAGCGAACTTGGCGCATGCGACGAACTTTCGGTCTCTTTCCAGTCTCGGAGGGACCGCGAGCGTTCCCCGTTCCTCGCCGCTTCGCTCGTTTACGGGCTTCGGAGAATGACGAATGTTCCGCTGCCATTGCTTACAGGGTCGGAGACGAGTCTGTTTGTGCGTGTGCAGGACTCAGTCACTCAGTGAACAACTTTGAACCCCTCGACCGACAGTTCAAACAGACACGAATGGATCAATAGACTTAGACACGCGAAGAGGAACGCTTGCTGTTGACGTTTCGCGCTCGTTTTCATTCGCGCAGAAGCGTGTCGACTTTCGACTCGCTCGCGCATCTCGTAGCAGCTTCGACGGGGGGTGCTGAGTTGCGTGTTGACCTCAAGAAAAAATAACCGCAGGTCACCGCGGAAACGGGAGTCATGTCAGACCACTTGTTGAATCGGGAAATATAGCTAATTATCCCTTCAATGATAATGATTGATTTCCGATCGAATCAGAAATGATATCGAGAGAGGAACTCCGAGACCGGAGCGTCGTCCGACCTGTCGGAGGACGCGGCATGACGACGGCTCGTTGAAGCCTCGACTTTCTCGCTCGATCGAAGTCGAGGCAGATCCGATATCTCCTCACGCGATCCAAAGTCCCCATTGCCCCGTCCAACATAAACGGCCAATGTCGCCCATGCGAGTTCGTTAATGAATCACGGAACGACATTTTCGGCTCGGAATCTCTCCTCGTACTTAGTCCGTCGAATCCGCTGTCGGTCCCTCGATAATAAGCGTCCGATCACAAATAGAACCGAGATTTGGCCCTCCCGTCCTCGCTGGTGTTGCTGTTGTCGATCGTATAATACGTCGATAGAGGCACAAACTATCGACGAGAGACGTACCACTCATGCATGTTGGGAAGGAATCACAGTGGGACCCACTCATTGTTCGTTGTGCCTGCTCCCCGGTCATGGTCGTTGAGTGCTTCGATTCAGAGCTCCGGTGCCTCCTTTCTCACCGTTCCGCCCCTACAAGTAGGCATCATTACGCTTGATAAAGTCGCATTGATGAAACTCGGTGGGATGACATTCAACAATTACCTGAAACGTAGCGGAACGAAATTGGCTGGAGTCCTCTTGCTGCTCTACGGCTTCCCTAGGGTTCGATGTCCCCAAACGGGCACTATGTCGCCCCCATATCTACGGGCTTGTATAGGGTTATGTGAATATATATTTTCCTAACCATATAAGTCCCTAAGTTTCAATTTTAACGTAGCATGCATTCTCAGCCGATAGTAGATACTTTTTCCGTCGTCATCGAAGCGTTATTGAGTTTCCGTCAGGGAGGGAAACTTCTTCGCATTCTGATCGGGAAATATTCACCGAGACAACTTTTGTGATTCTGCAAGAATATGGACGAATATACACAACAGCTGCCACGAAAAAAAAGTCCGCCCTCCGGTCAACAACTGTTACTTAACGGAAGGCGATTGCCGACATCTGCATCATGTGGACAACAGCCACAAAGTTGTGATAGCTCCCACTGAGGACGACTTCGCACCTGACTGACTATTGACACATTTATTGCTCTCTGTATCCCTGGCCTGCTTCTCGTCTAGTTGATGTCTCGATCGGCAGGCGTCCGCTGCTGTCGG